CGGGGAGGCCTTGGAATATATGCGAGAGTTTCATAAAAACATTCGGCCAACGATCTATATGGTTTGCCGAAAGCATGTCAAGATACAATCGATCTCATTTTAACTTGCCTGGATGCTAAGCGAATTATTCAGAAAACCTCAGACCTAGGATTGAAAGCTAGGTTCTAGCACATACGAGAAGCTCGAGTCCTTGGTTTTGAAGTCGACCCATACACTGATATCGATGCAGTTGACCTTCCTTTCTCAATGGAAGACCTTCAGTATTTACGATACCATTTCGAAGTTTTTTCGGCTGTTTCTCTCTTCAGCCTTACGACCGATGAAATAACACGAGTTGCACGGTTGGATGCCTATCTCGACACTAGGGATGCCTGTATAATGTACCAAAAGCAAGCTCGTATCCTGGCACCAATCCTAGGCACACTTCCAATCTCAAACCCACCTGAGGCACCTACGCAGAACCAACAGGTTGTCGAAGAGACACCGCAGGAACAAACCATTGAAGAAGGAGCCGAGGAGTTTCTTGGTACAACTCTGACGGAAGCGAATGCCGCAGTCGGTGACCAGGAAATAGAAGAGGCTGAAGAAGATGATCGTAACCCGATAGGCCCATCAGTCCTGGATAACATGGAAATCAGTATGGTCCATGTTTTACCCGTTGATTTTCAGTCGAGCACAGCTCAACCGAATTTCCTTGATGGCGACGTAGTTGCCGAGGAAGCCGGTCACATTGATTTTGTAACTATTACTGAAGTCAAGTCGACAACAAAAGATGATAATCTCAAGGCAGCTTTGGCCGAATTGTTTCCTCGCTCATCATCGGCCAAACTTTATCATTTGAAGCCATTGTATGTAACGGCCCATATCGAAGGGTATCCAGTCGACAAAAACCGTCAATATCATGCCTTTAAACATCATGAAGGCATTACGTCACTCCAATGACGAACTTATTCCTTCTGGGATCACAATGAGCAGTTTCGTCGGAGACAAATCCCAAACCAAAGGGGTGCTTCCTTTAGCGGTAAACATTGCCGGTTGTAATCACATGACTGCATTTTTCATCGTCAACTCCATGACCGAGTATAATGCACTGCTCGGTCGAGACTGGATTCATCAAACCAGCTGTATTCCTTCATCATTATATCAAGTGCTCGTCTTTTGGGACGGTAAATCGATCATTGTTCACCCGGTCGATAGCCAACCCTTCGAAGCTAACATGATCCAAGCACGGTATTATGATGACCACATCGACTACATCACCCTACAAGGTTTCAATGACGAAGGACAGCCGACTCAGATTTCTATTCAGAAAGCTATCAAGGTTGGCACCGAGACTTTCCACCAGGATTCGGCGAGACTCGGGTTAGCTAACTTCATCCCCGACCCTGATGTTTAACACCGATTGAGAAAAACATCGAGCTGTGGTTTCATCTACTATGGAACGGCTGCTGGCTCATTGGTATACTATATCTAAGCAATCAAATTCAGACGTTAACCTCGTAGAGTTCCTCATCGAATGAGATACTGGTCCTGTCTTATCTCTTGACAAAGTTCAAGCTGTCCCAGCCGAGCTCGAAGACAATAGGCCCCAAGTCAATGACCCATTGGAAGAAATTAATGTTGGGACGGCCGATGACCCACGACCTTTATTTATTAGTGCTTTGCTTCCCCAACCTATGAAAGCCGAACTTCGTGCCCTATTTGAAGAATTCAAAGATTGTTTTTCTTGGAGCTACCACGAGATGCCTGGCTTAGATCGCACTCTCGTCGAGCATGAGTTACGTATTAAACCTGGGTGTAAACCTTTCCGTCAACCCCTTCGACGATTCTCGATCGAAGTGCAACTTGGTATCAAGGAGTTCTTATGAAGTTTATGAACCTCTTCTTTCGATGGTGCTTGGCTTTCACCGCTCAGCTTCTCAAGGGCCCGCTTGTCGAAAAACGCCTTCAGGTCAAGGTTCGAAGGGTACCCAGAGAGGGCAGCATCAACTGGGATTCTAGTCGAGAAAGCCCCCAGGATAGCAGTAATGTCAATGATGGTGGGACCTATGGGGCCGAGAGGGAGGACCATGGTGTTGGTGGCCGAACACCAAAAGCATAAGGCCGCTAGGAGGAGCTCCTTGTCCATGATAACTTCCATGGATGAGAGGTGAATGACGTCGTAGATGCCCAGGGCTTTTCATTGCTCACCGAAGAGTTTTTCCATCCGTACGACCCAAGCCGCCCAGGCTGTAGTGGTCGAAGGCCATGAACTTTGTAGCCTTGCCAGGTCCCACTTCGACCATTTAAACTTTTGCAGCAAGGGTGATAGGCATTGCTCTTTAAGAAGTCCGATGATGGTTGGTGGTACTGTCGCTTTGAAGAGAGGGCCCAAGATTTGGTGAGGGGTGCTCATATCACTTTCAAAATGGATGGTTTTGATCAAACTTCGATCAATAATTTTCTGGGATTGGTCACATTCCTTGGAAAGCTTGGAGATGAAAGAAGCCATTGTATGAGGGTTAAAGATGTGACGAAAGGAATTTTTCTTGGTTGGGGGATTTTGAGACAAAAATCTGGAAGAAAAGGATTCACTGGAGAATGAGGGCAAGAGATTTCAGAGAATTTGAAAGCGTAAGGTGTAAATGAGGGAATTTCAATTTTTATAGGAATATGGAGGGAAGGACAATCATTTGAAATTCAAAAGGAAGGGTAAAATTGACCGAAGAATCCTCTAATCATTATCATTATGAACATTCAGATAATCCAGTTGAGAAGACTGAGGGTTTCATGGTTTGGGGAACACACGATTGCGTGTGGCGGCGAGAGCGGCGAGATTTATGGTGAAAGACGTTTGGCGTCTGCACGATGGTGAATGGTTCGCGGATCAATGCGGCATGGTGGTGCTCAACAACAAGGTCATGATGGTATGACGGTTCAGAGAGCTGCACGTTTTAAAAGTCATCATTAGCAAGATCAAAATCGTGCAATCGTGCTCAATAAATACACCTTGGAAATAGAGTATGTGGATTCTGATATTAGTTTCGCTTCTTCAAGGTCGAAGCTCGACCAGAGAATTCAGTTCGAGGACCTCAGAAGTGAGGGGGCAATGTTTGGGCCCAAAATATCAGTTTGGGCCGAGTATAGAATTATTCTCGACCCGAAAGGCTCTATGACAAAGTTACCATGGATCGTTTGGTTCGTGGGCTTCCAAACCTGGGTCGGTTAAGTCATGATGCAAGACGAGTCAAATCCTGGTGCAATGAGGAGTCTCGGCGAGATTAACAACTCGGAAGTGAATCCGGCTCGATATAGGACTGGGTTCAAAAGTATAGTGAAAAAGGACTGGTCGAGTTGGAGTTTGATTGGGAGAAGAAGTCTTAATCCGGGTACGTTTTTAACTCGACCTTGAAGGTATTCGGTACTATAAATAGAGGAGGTTGTGCATCGTTCGAAGCCCCTTCCAATTCAACACACAACTGCCCTGTGCAAACTCTCTCAACAACTTGAGATTTTTTATTTTCTCTTTTCGCTGACACATCTTCCGTTGGCATCAACAGCACTGTGAAAGCAACCGGTGATATCTTCAGTCGGCATAGATAACTCTGTCGCCGTAGAATCAGCCGATCTCACAGTATCTTCTGTTGGCATTAACAGCACTGCGGCGATGACGATTGGTTACCTATCCAAGTCTCGGTCGATAAGGATTTCCGAATCCTTATTAATTGAGGTCATCTCGTTAGCCTTCTCGGCGAAACAAGGTGTTACAGCCTACTGAGCTCGGTGCATTGTACGCCGAGTTATTTTATGATTGGATACTCTCAAGTAGGATTTAGAGTTCGGCATTCAAACGGCCGAACCACGTTCACTATTAAGACTCATATCTGCTTTGAGTATTTGTGCCCTTACACTTTGGTGTCGATTCGGCGTGAGTTTACTCTAACGAATACCATCACTGTGACCGAATCCAACGACGACGATTCGTGAATTTCGTGAGAATAGTAGCCTTGTCTTCAGGTTCGAGAACCCAAAAGGCCGAGACGTGTTCCTTCCTCGGTCGTAATCGCAAGACGCAGAAGTCAGCTGCGCACCTAACGCAACATCAACAAATTTACTCCTTGGCCGAGCTCGGCCGACGAGTTGGCATACCCCGCATTCATTGAAGGACGTAGTTAGCTTATAGATTACTCGGCCTGCGCGCCACGTAGGCTTTGTAGTTTTTAGGGTCAACAACATTTTAACATTTTCTTTAGAGATGCTCTAAAATATCAAACAAATAAACATAAAAACAAAATTTGGTGCCAAAACTAGCTTTTGGACTTTGGTACCAAATTGGCTTTTGGACCAAGCCAACCATGTCACACACTAACACCTATGAAGCCTTAATGCATAACTTAAGTCATGCTCTCTCAAGTCCTCATTTTTTCAGACTTGTGGGGATCAAATACATATTAGCCACATGGTTATATTAGTTTAGATGTAAATGCTTAAAATATTTGACAACTTAATAAAGCAAAATCAAATTAAAATCTATGAACCATTAGAAAACTCATTTTATTGTTTTGTTTTTAAGTTGTCAAATATTTTAAGTATTTAACTATAAATTAATATAATATTATGACTAACATGCATTAATCCTCATTCCTTGAAGGTTTTTAAAATGAAGACCTCAAACGAGCATGACTCAACTAATTTGGCTATGCCCATGTACAAGAAAGCTTATCGCATCGAATTAATAAAACCGTCATAGGAACCAACATCAAAGTGGAAATTTCACTGTTCCTTGTTGTAGTAGTTAATCACTACCATTAACTTTGCTCAAAGTTCAAACAAAAACAAATCAACAAATAAAAAAGATAATTAATTGACTAATCTTAAAAATCTACAAGCCTTTTTACCCCTATTATTCTCATAATTAAGCATTAATCAAGATTCCCACCCATAATTACAACCCATGTACTCCCTCTCTCTAACCCCAACAGAAATAAAAAGTCAAAAATACCCCCACAGGAAAAAGAGAGCTGTTTTTTTTTTCTTCTGTATTTTTGTTTTCTTCACAAAAGAGCTGACTTTTCTTTGCTGAATCAGATACTACCAGCAGCAGTGGCAGCACTACTGGAAATCCAAGGCATGCCGAAGCTCACCGGCGAGTGATCGGAGAAGTAATCTTCGGCCAGACCGTCCAACCCTACAAAGAAATCGTCACTCACTACCGAGCCGCACATCCCCAACAACTCGTCCTCCTCGTCGGTAATCAAAGGACTCCCCTTCTCCTCCTTGCAGCTGCTTTCCACGGTCGTACTCCGAGCTGCAACGATAGGCTCCTCGTCCACGGAAGCCGAGGTTGTCGGAGATGTGGGTTTCGCAGAGTCACCGCCCGTGGTTGTTTGTGGGGAGAGGGGCTTCTGGCGCGTGGAGCCGGCGAGCGAGTTGCGGTGAGTCGGGGCCGGGTGGTTGTGCTCCGCCGTGTAGGTGACTATAAAAATATTCGGGTCGGACTTGTTCCGCTCCACTTGCTTCCGGGCCATACAACCCTTTGAGCTGCTACATCTGTAATATCCCCTGTTTTTTTGTTCCAAAAACAGAACATTTAATTTAATAAAAAAAATTCAAAATTTAAATTTATGAGAAAAATTATATGAAAAAAAAAATGAAAAACCCACCTTGGATATGGGGAGCCCTTGATGGGCTTTTGGCCGTACTTCCGCCATGCCCATATGTCTGAAGAGAGACCCTCCGCCGGAACTTGGCACACTTTTTTAAGCTGGTTCTTTCTGAAATGTTAAAAAAAATCGTAAATAAATGAAATTGTGAATTAAATAGCGCAATTTCGAATGGGTATCTTTCAAAATTCGATCTTTTTGAAGTTCGAAACAAAAAAAGGAGTGAAAAATCGTACCTTTTTTTGGATCGTGCGGTGGTGGAAGACGATGGCTTGGAGTGCTGGGTTTGTTGTTGGCGGTGATATTGTATGGGATGTGTTTGATCTTCGGGTGTGGTCAGAGAAGAGAGAGAAGCCAAGGGAGAGAGAGTGGGTGGTGTGATTTGTGGGGAGGACAGAGGAGGCTGAGATTTGGGGTAGAAGGGCCTGCAAAGGTCATGTAGTTCTTCAATGGCACTTCTGGGTTTAATGATGGGATCTGGAAGTGGAAGAGAGAAGAGGAGTTGCTGTTGTTGAGAAGTTTGATCAAATGAAGAGAAGGAAGCAGCTGCTGGGTTTGAATGGAAGCCAGAGATGTTGAGACTTGTGGTGGCGGCAGCGGAGGAGGCTCTGGTGGATGTTGTAGTGGTGTTGCTTGTGGTGGTGGCGGTGAAGCAGCCTCTGACCACCGCTTGAAGATCCCAATCGTCCTCCATGAGAAGAGAGAGAGAGACAAGGCTTCTGAATCTGTACCTAGTGTCTGCTAGCTATGACTGTTTGAGGACAGAGAAAAGAAGGAGAGAGACAAAAGAAGGCGCTGACTTTTTGTTAGAGAGAGAGAGATGATAAGGAGGGGGTAACGAAAGAGGAATTATATAAACAACGTATTTATAGGGAGAGAGTGGGATTTTGATACACAAAAGTCGGAAGGGGCAGAAAACAAGTGGTTTTCCTAGTGAGAGAAAGGGGGAGGAGAGAGAAAGAGAGAGGGTATCTCTATGCATTTGTTTTGCTTTTGGAAAGAAAAAATTAAATAAATTAGGGAAAATGGAAACCGGTTTTGGGGTTGACTTAGTAAAATGTCAAAGAGGGTTTTGATAGCAAAGTTCCACACGGTGTCTAGGGTGCGGAGCTCGTGAGTTATACCGACAGTGGAGAAAGAGATAAATAAATTGATTTTTAATTTTTAATTTTTATTTGAAATATAATAATATAAATTGAAAAGTGGAAGCCACTTAATTTGGGTGCTCCTGATCAGCTATTGCAAGATTTTTAGTGGGGTAGATAAAGTTGGTAAAATGACGATTCGCATTTAATTAGCAATTCTTAACACCCAATTAAGAGAATAAACACCTAATTATGATCATTCTGGTTTAATCAGTTCAATTAAAGCTTCAATTTAGTTTGATCAATTTCGATGATTGTGGCATTTAATTAGTTTGATCAATTTCGATGATTGTGGCATTTAATTAGTTCTCCAATTTAAGAAATCATTGTATTTGAATGTACTTAAATTCAAGAATTAAGTACCTACAACTCTCCAATTTTTTAGTATCATTCTAAATTAGTCTCAATTTTTTTAAACATTTCAAACAAGCACCCAACTTATTGAAATGTCACAACCATTAAGTTCGAGTTAATTTTCAAGCACAAATTATATTCAAAACTCACCAATTGGGTATATCATTGTCATTCTAAATTACTCTCAACCCTTAATCAAATAAGTATTGATTGAATAAAAAAGAGACCCAAATTGAAATTACATTAGGAGGGCAATCTCCTATCAAAGAAGAGGGTTAAGAATGTAGTTAGGGTTTCCAGTAGCTTGTTTCTGCTCATATGATCTCCTCCTATGATGCTTTTCAGCTCATAACACATCCAACTCTTCTTTGTGGGCGGTAAAGATGGTGGTGATCGCATCATGATAGTCCATACCATTTTAGCAACCTCCATGACCTTCTTGTCGATGTTGGTGGCTTGAGTTGGTGGGTTGAGTTGGTGGTTTTGTGTTGTGTTTGGAGGTGATCGCATGATGAAGGTGATGGTGACCATTAATTGGTGGAGGTTATGCCTTCCATGATCTTCTATTGATTTTAGAGACAAAGTAACCCCTAGTTAATTTAACAGATTTTTTTTTTCGACAAAAGAAATGTAACGTATTTTTTTTATTTTTTATTTTTTAACAAACGATAATATATACACTAAGGGGGGGGGAGTGGGCTAAGTCTTACAATAGGCTTACCATAGTAATGTGGTTCAACTTCGCTTTTGGCAAGAATCGAACCTAAGACCTCTCACTTACAAGTGAAAAAGAACACCACCACACCGTAGTACTAAGTGTCAATTTAACAAACTTTTAACTAGGGTTTAACGGATATGACATTTTCAATAAGTTGGATACTTGTTTGGAATGCTTAAAAAGGTTGAGACCAATTTGAAATAACACTAAAAAGTTGGGAGAGTTTTAAGTACTTAATCTTAGATTCAATGTGATTCAATTTTAATTGAAAAATGTTAAACAGACTCGCTAGTGACTCCCTTCAGACTCGTTTTTATACACATGGCTATTAACCGGTGATTCAATTTGATTCGTTGTGTGTTGAATAATTTTCTTCTTGGACAACAAATCAATTATCCAATCCCCAATTAGTTTTACTTGAAATTGGATTTGATCGTAATTGTAAAAAGTCATATTATGGTCAATTGTATATATCAAAATTGACTCATAAATGATGTCAAGATTTGTCCATCTATGGGTGACCAACCCTTGAATCAATTCAATGATTCACGCACAATTTGGCACAAAACTCTACAAACCACAATTGATTTTCATGGTCATTGGTGACCAAAGGATTAGAGCTACTTACATATGTGTTTATATGTTACAATTTAGAAATACTAGTAACATATCAAGGGAAAAAAAAATAAGAATTCAAATGCGCACCATATATGTAATTTAGTTCAACCCACAATAGAAAATTTTAAAATAGATTTCATATGAAAAATTCACCAAATTGAAGATGAAGCAATCATATATATACATTTGTCGGTCTTTTGGCTAAGATCAAGTGAAAATGAAGAAACGAAGTAGTCATATACTCTATGTGAGTTGGCCTGATTGGTTAGGGTAGTGTATCCACTCTCTTTCCTATTACGCATGAATTTGAATTGCCCAACCTATAGATTGTAGTAATTTACATTATTGCTTCATTTGTGTATAAAAAAATCTATAAATATAATTAAAGTGAATTGTTATTGACACTCCAAACTTTTTATATTTGGAAAGAAAAATACACTTGTGAGGAGTGTAGAATGAGATTTTTGGAGTGCCAATAACATTTCTCTAATTAAATGGTTAATCAATTTCCAACTTTGATGATTCTTTTTTTTTTTCTTTAAAAAAATCTAAAAATTTTGAAACGTACCGAACATAAAATCACGTTGTGGCTTGAACTCAATAAAGTAGCATCTCTAGTATTTGGTAAGTGTCTCTAAAATTTCCTCCTAATGCAAGAGTTGAGATTCACTTATGTTTCCCGTCTTTGCAATGACGTCGCTCATTGTTTAGCTAAATTTTATTTTATAAAGCGATTGTCATGTAGTTTGAAAGGAGAATCCTCCCAATATCATTCAGGACGTTCTTTTTTAAGAACATATCTAAAGAAAATTACATATACTCATTATCATAACAACCAAACAATAATTAATCTTGTTTGTTCTTTCTCATAAAACTTTGGCATTAAACATGCTTAAAGCAAGTAAAAGAGTACAAAATCAAGCTTTTCATTTTCAGTTCATTCATTAATCCCATCTTTAGATGCAATGCACGTAGTAGCATCTTAAGAATACCCTACCTGTTAATCATTATTACGGTCTGGTGATATTTCTCTTTACTTGTAAGTGATATGTTTTATATTCGAATCTCGTGAATAACGAATTTTATATCAAATTAAGTTATTTACTATGTAACTTAGCAGAACTTTTCATCCTCTTAATATAAAATATACGGTTGTACTAAAAAAGAATACTCCACCCCTCTCTCTCAGTTAGGAAATGTTTATATTGGGATTGGGGGAGGGGGGTTGCATTGGGGTTGGAATATTAAAATTCCATTTCTGTAGAGGGAGCAGCATCTGTTCCCTCTTTTGAGGTTTTGATGCCTTGTTCTAGACTGCCCCTGTTCCCACTTTTCTCCCTAAAGGAGCACTCAAATCCTGCACGCGGCGCCAGTATTCTTAACGCTTGTGCCTGCCACGTGGTCTACTGTGATCAACCATCCACGTGTCAACCTTCCACGGCTATGATGTCTACGAGTCAAAGTCCAAAGCGGTGATCTAACAGCTGAACGACTGATGATTGTAAGACGATCTGACGGCTCAAAGGGAGATTCACACTAGAGTGCCACACTGAAACAGTTGGATCGACGGCGTAGGAAAGCTGATGTGTCGTGACAGCTAGCAGATTATGTAGTCCCCACACTCCACTATTTTCTTTGACTAATCCGAAGATATGTGCAAATAATACTGTTAAAATGGATTTGTTAATTCATTTCGCATTTAAGTGAGTGTGACATGTGATTTTTTTTAGAGAAATTTTGGATGCGGTTTCTATTTGATTGAAATCTTGTTAGTCTTCAAATTTTTATTGAAGTTCTTGAAACTAATGTTAATGTGATAATTTATTTCTATGTATGTTACTATCTTTTTTAAATTAAAAATTAAAAATTTTAGTTGTTTATATAAATGAGATTTTAAATAAAAAACCATAATTTGTGGGATTAAAAATATTAAAATATAAATATACTAGTGTGTGTGTATATAAACATGGGTACATTCATCAAAATTAACCAAAAAATTATTGTATCAAAACATGGGTACATTCTTCAAAATCACAAAAATAAAAGAAAAAAAAATATTAGGCTTAATAACATTAATAAATTTCTTCGATTAAACTTGACATGGATACATTTTAAAATCAAATAAAAAAGAATGTACCCATATAAGTTTAAAAATGGATTAGAAAAAAATTGAATAGATTATATATAAAAAAAATGGTACATTTTACATATAACAAATTTGTATATTTAAGAATGAGTACATTTTAAAATTAAAATTTTGAAAAAATTACATGAATGGGTACATATAATTAGCATGGGTACATTTGGTAAAATAAAAAATGGGTACAAATAAATTTTTAAAAAAATGGGTACAAATACAAATAAAACTTTAAAAAATATGGGCACAAAAAGAAATTAATATATGGGTACAAATTAAAATTGAAAAGAAAATTGGTACAAATTAAAAAAGGATTGCAAATTAAAAATGGGTACAAACTAAAACTAAAAATATATGATAAAAAATTTAGTCATAAATATAAATATACTAATTGTAACATTTTAACATTAAATGAATATATTTAGAAATAAAAATATTTTATTATTGAAATAATTAATGATGTTATTAATACCCAAGGACCTTGATCAAAAATTGAAAAGGCATATGATTTTAATCAATGGAGTAGCAAAAGGAAGGATGAGAACCTAATTTCTCCTGTTTTTTACATTAGCTGCTGTTGCAATTTAGTACTATGATTTAAGGACGTTTCTTTTTACTTGTAGGTGAGGGGTTATAGATTAGATTATCGTTAAAGACAAATCTGAATTACACTGTTATGGCTAGTCCAATGTAAAGCTTAACTCACCTCTCATCTCTTTTAGAGTACATGATACCGTTTGTTAAAATAAATTAAAAATTAGGTGTTGCTATACTCACTCCTTATGTGTACATGTGACATGCCAACATCAATTTTAGGAATTCATATAAATTAGGGTAAATTACATAATACCCCCTCAGGTTTGAGGTCAATT